GCTTACTATCCCACCAGTAACTTGGGCATTGCGGGGCGGGGGCGGAGAGGGAGGAGGAGGAGGAGAGGATGATTTTTGGAGCCTGAGAATTGATTTATGTTGGATCAGTAAGTTTTACTATGTTGGATCAGTAAGTTTTACTATGATTATTTTTCAATGTTGGGGGGCCTGAAGACTTAGAGCTTTTCCTTCTTTTGGATTTGGGAAGAACATGCGGTTTTCAGGTGAAGCATCAATTAAACGCGTTCAGCAGCAGAAGCCGAGTTTAGTTGGCCCAAAGTGCATTAGGCTGCATGAAAGTGGGAAGCATAGTAGCAACTTGGTAGACAGATGGCAATGGCAGAACGCAGGTTCGCATACATACATGGATCCAGGGTGTGTGTGACCGTGGAGGGAGGGGGACGACTATATTTGTCTAAATATAGGTGTGTGTGTCTGTGTGTGTGTAGAGGTACATTGTGTAGGGTGGCCACAGCCCCGGCTCTTGTCACCGCGTCACCACATGTCCAAAATATTCATTGCATCAATTCAAGGGCAGTGAGCAGGGGGTGGAGGGACAGCTTGGCAATTAGATTCTTCCAAATTGGGTTTCCGATGATCAGACCTTTTACTTACAGCGAGACTGCCTGTAAAGTGTAAAGCCCTTCCTCGGTAAAATTAGGAAGGAGTTGCATTGGTAGAGCAAAGTACCGATTAACCATGAACTTACTAGTAAAACGGATTGCAAATTGCAACCTTTGGCACCATCTGTAAATTGTGGGGGTGGGGTCGCTTAGCGTTCGCCGCCTGAAAGGAACGTGCAGTGTGTACCCCGGGACTGCAAGTTGCAAAGCCCTTCAGTGCACGTGTCCTGTGAGTGTGTGTGTGTGTGTGTGTGTGTGTGTGTGTGTGTGTGTGAGAGTTGGGGGCTGTTGTTCGGCAGCCAGCAGGCTTTCCGGGTTGTTGGCGCTGGCTTGCAAATTCGGGAGAGGGATGGAATGTGGAATGTTGACCGGGGAACCGAATCCTGTCGGAACGGTCCCATTTGCTGGAGAAATTCGATCCCTTCCACCTCCTTCCCGCTCCCCCCACCCCCCCGCCCGCCCGCCTGCGGGCAGGAGGCGGGGCCGAGGACCGGGCTGCTGCTCAAAGTGGCGGAGCGCGGCGGCGGGAGGCAGGTGCACGGCACCCGCCAGTGGGGGTGCCTCAACTTCCGCGGGCGTTTAAATAGCAGCCTCTCTCCCCTCCCACCGGTAATAGGTGACCTGGCGGCCGAGGGCGGCGGGGGGA